GGCACTTGAGAAATATGACATACAATTAATTATAATTTCTAATTAAATATTCAACTATTCTTTTTAAAACAACAAGAAAATTAACTGTTCAATGAAGGATTTTATTATGATGTTGGTAAATAGAAATCAGTGAATGTGTTTGTCAACAAAATGTTTTAAAACTCATGTTTTATGAACATTTTGGGGTCATAATAAACAACAAATATAAAGTAGTATCTTAATTGTTTCCTTGATTTCTTTCTTCTCTATTTGGTATTAAATTCTGGTTTTCAATGCTAAAAATGTATTCATAAAAATATTTCTCTTATTACACATTTCTAGATAGTAGAATATCATTATCTCTCTAATAATAAAGAAAAAATATGGAAAGAATTACCCAGAATTACCCAGAAGTTCAAGATGATTATAACCATATATTACTTTCAACAATTTTTTATTTTTTTTCAGATGAGGCTAAAAATATCAACCCAACAATTCTACAGGAGCTGAACAAAATTATTTCGCAATTGGATCCTCGATACACACTTAGCACAGGCAGCTTACTTGCTGATCCACCGCCTGTTCCAGATACTTGTGGAGAAGTTTACAATGGCACTTTGTTTGGAAACCCATGGTACAGAACAGGCTTCGTTGAATCACCATCATGCAAAAAAGAGGAGAAGCAACCAATCCATAAACTTATTACAATTATTCTGTTGGACAGAGTAGAAGATATCAACAAGACAAGTGATGTTCTTCAAACCATTCGTTCCTATAATTCTAATATAAAAGTTATTTTGGGTTCCACAGCTTCTCTTGAAGCAGTTCGAACCATAAAAGCAAAGTACAAGAATATTATTACAGTAACTAGTGATCATGAAGACATGCTACGGCCAGGCAAAATACTTAATTTAATGGTGGAGAGAATTAAAACACCGTATGTTTTGGTAGCTAGAGACATATTTTATTTTAATGACTTGGCAAGACTGGAGAGACAGGTGTTTGTGATATCTAGTACAAATGTTGTGGGAATAGCTGGTGGAGCATTCAGGAATGAAAGTGGTTATTGGAAAGTAGGGTGCCATCTTTCTCAAATCAAAAATTACTTTCTTCAGTACACAGAAGGATACAAATATTCTGCTTTGGATTGTATGCTCTGTGATCACTTAGAAGGACCATTTATTGCAAAGACATCTGTAATGAGAAGTATACCATTTAAGAAAAACCTGTATGAAGAGGTGTTATATGAAGACTGGTTTTTGCGAGTGAAACAAAACAATATTTTAGCCATGAATTGCCCTGATGTCATGTATTTTAAAAGAGGTCTTATGGAAGGAGTTTCTGAAGAAGTCAAATTACGAGAGTATTCATCGTGGTTAGATTTGGCCAGAGAATGGCAAGTGGACCATGTGCATTTTCCGTCCAGAGTCTCAGTGAAATTTACCTGTAAAGATCTAAAAATAACATGTGATTCAACAAGATGGTTTAAAGCGTTTCTTATTCCAACTTGCTGTATGAAACAAATTACTGGAGCATTACAAGCACTAGACACATTTAGTGAAGAAAGAGGAGTTGATTATGAAATTGAAGCAGGTACGTTGTTAGGTGCTGTGAAATTGAGAAACTTCCTGCCATGGGATAAAGATGGCGATATAACATTTCAAATAAAAGATTATGATACATTTTATGAAAATAGTGACTTCTTTTCTGAAAAAGGGTTTAGTTTGTCCATGTTTAAAAAAAATAAATATTTCAGACTCAACACTCCAGAAATTATATTAGAGATGTGGGGGTCAGATAAAACCAGCACATACCAGTTGCCAACCGAAATGTGGGAATATCCAACTAGAGTAAAATTCAATGGGATCTGGGTGCGAGGTGAATGGAATCCAGGTTTGTTTGCAAGAAATCGATATGGTCCAGGATTTTTGAAACATGTGCAACATTGGAACTTAATGAATATGCCAGATAGTTGGCAGATTTACAAACCTGGATCTTGGAAATCTTGTCCTAAGAAAGCACATCATGCATGCCTGGATCAGTACCCATCGGATGGAAGTGAGGGTCTACTATCCAAACCAGAAGCTTGATATATTACATTTACTGAATGCTTCTGCTGTGTAACAAATATTTAACTCCACAGGAAAGTGTAGGGTCTCAATACCTCTTGTAATGTGGCTTGTGAAAAAGAGTAAAACATATTGTGATAAAAGTGCGTACTTAATAAACAAAGCAGAACCCTATAAAGAAATTCACAATTCATAGTAAAATATTCCCCATATTTTACTACAAAATGAGACACCAGTCTATGAATGAGATCTAATTGAATGAGCATTAACTTGAAACACAAATTTGTTAGAAAAATATGTAAATTACTACAGTGATTTTGTAGGACTTAAATGCCTACTGTTCAGTTAAAGACTTTTTTTTAGTAGGTACTCTTATCTGTGATTGTTTACAAATATTCATGAATGTTTGTATTATCATAATTTTGTGAATTTCATAAGTACAGTATAATTTGTGTGTATAAAAAGTTGTTAAGACTTTGGAAATGTTCAACAATGTGTAAACACCAATTTCATATTCTCGAGGCCTTATAGTTTAAGCCTGATAATATTTTCAACACAGAAACATTTTGGAGGATACTCTTTTACTTTTAATCGATTAAAAACTGTGTCAATGAAATTATGTGCTAGAATTGAAATGCAACATCTTGCCAAATTTATATGTAAAGATTTATTAATATTTTAAATTATTTCTACAAATTTGTACATAAGAAGCTTCTACAATGAATATTATTTTTGTCTAGTTAGTCAGTCAGTGATTTCGAATATTCGAACATGTTTATCTTCAGTCAACAGAATTTGAGTTGTTTTTATAATTGATTAAATCAACTGAGAAATGTATATTAGCTGTTAACATCATTCTTAATTAATTTCTTATTTTTGTGAAACGATTGTAGTAATTTTGTAGTTAATTGTTTATTTCGATACATTAGAAGAATCAATGAATAATATGTTGTTTTTCTTTAAAACATGCTTCCTAAATGCATGTAAGCTGTATATAAAACTAGAAAGGAAAATTCAGTTAAAAAAAAGACTATTTCTTCACATGTACATTATTCTCGCAATAACAGACAAAAATGCATTTAGTAGCTTTCACCGTTATTGCCTTAAAGTAGATGCTAATAGAATGAATTATGGTAAGAATAAAATGAAGGTTTAAATGTCAGCACCACACCTAGGGGCCTTCTTTGACAATAGAATGAAATGTTGACATTCTGCTTTTATTCAAAGCCAATACATTGTATTAAAGAATATTTATTAGAAACGAATATGATCCTGCCTTAAAGCTTTTGTACTTATTCCATTTTGTATGTGCATGTAACTATTGTGCATAGCATTTGTGATATATGTAAGAATTACTCCAATTGTAAATGGAAACACAAAGAAAAATCAAAACATGGTGATGTTATACTTTTGTAATGGTCTGCATAAATTGTAACAACAAAATTATGTTTCTATTTACTAATTAAAAAAAAAGAATATGCCAGAAATTTAAAAAAATGTTTTTGTTTGTACTCCCTGTTATCATTACATTTATACCTGTCCCTTAAACTCCAATTTCCTCCACCTTTCACAGACCTAATTTTTCCGAGAAAATGAGATTGTATGATAAAAACTACAGCTGTGCATCAGGCAAGGCTTGTCCAATGAAAACTCATCATGCATGTTTGGACCCAATAGGTGAAAATGAAGTTGTCATCAAAACCAGAAGCTTGATGTTCTACCCTTAGTAAATGCTAATCTATGTAGTAGAAATTTTTGACTCAACGTGTTTAGAGAAAGGAACTAAATAACTTTTCTTTCATGGTTCCTGTCAAGAATTTATGATATAACAAGGAATTTTACTACAAAAGGAGACACTAGCTCATTAATTATTTGCATTAATTAAACACTAAATTTATTTTTCACGATGATTTTGTATATAAAATCATTGTGAGATATTCTATTCTACAAAATATAAGTATCCACAGTTAAAGAGAAATTTTTAGTATTATCTCTGATTATTTACAAATATTTGTAAGATCATAATTTTGTGTTTTTAATAAATTTCATAAAGATAAAATAATTTTTGTTAAAAAGAAATTGCGGAGACATCAGAAACAGTTCATAATGTATAAATGACAATTTCATATTTTTCACGATTTCATATTTCAGATGCTGAAGCCTCTAGTTCTAGCTTTTATCATATCTAATACTTTCAGTTGACACGTATGTCTCTGAGGATTCTGTTATAAACTTTTTATCTCTTCAAAACCATGTCAATGAATTTGTGTGCTAGAATTGAGAAGTTACATCTTTCGGAGTTCATATGTAAACATTTATCAACATTCTCAAGCATGTAATTGAAGTTGGACATACACGCTTCTAGTATGAATATTGTTTTTGTGTACTCGGTCAGTGGTTGAGAATCATTACCACATATTATTCAAATGAAAGTAAAATTGTTTTTGAGATTGTTAAAACCGCATGAGATGTGTAGAGCAGTCAACTTCATACTCAAACAATGTCTTGATTTTGTGTAATAATTATTAGTGTAATTTTGTAATTAATTGTGTTCTTCTGTACATAATTGGGTACATTAGAAGAAACAATGAAAAATGTATAAAATTTGTAAAATAAGCAAATTATTTCTTGTTTGTATTGCAATTTTTGGTAGCTTTTGGCTTAACCCTAATGGACTGTTCAATGTTAGCATAAGGCTGTACTACTCGAGACTGTATGACCAGGAAAATTGTTTTGCACACTGGCGATAAATAAAAAGAAAATGTTGGATCTTTATAAAGTTCCAATGTTATTATGTATCAAATATAATGTTAATATTAATGAAAAGTATTCAGGTTAATTGTGCTTTTGTAATTTGTTATAATATGGGCAAATATTTATTGTTACCGATTTACTAAATTTATTTACTTCAAATACAACATAAAACGTATATTTTAATTTCATTGTCTATAGGAGAAAATTTACAACATATATATGACCATTACATCCTGAAGAATATATTGATATTTCCATTTTTGGACCATTGTTGTGAATTATCATTTTGTGTGATACTTCCGAAATGCCCTATTCTCATGGTGAGACTTTCTTAGGTCCATCAAAATCTTTTTTTTTTTTAATCCATACATTATTTATTGAAGTCCATAATGCGAAATCTTGTATGTGATAATGCAGATGAGATTGTAATACAGAATGAATGGCGATTTATTTTCCTCGTGCAAAGGAATGTATCACAAAGTTGAATTGGCTGTAAGAGTTCCTTTCATTTTAGTAAAAAAATATGTTTTGTGTGACAGTGTTACTAAATATTTTATCTTGAAGAAGTGTGCTGAAGTTCTGGTTTAGCTCTTCTATTGTGCCCTGAGTTATGATTTTAATTTTTAGAACAGTTCAAAATTCAAAGATGTTCAGAAATTATCTTATAAAAACTGCCATTTGAGTGAACTACTTACTACAACAGACTGATCCCTCACCCTGATTTTGTACTTTCTTCTCTCCAGGATACAGGAGGAAGCTTGCCTGTGGATGTCATGTAATCAATACAAAAAGTTTTAGTGCCATATACCTAACAGAGTAGTTAAGTTGATTTTCGGCATTTCGGTCACATTAGTAAATATGTAATAACTATATTTTTTAGGAAAACTATGACAAATATACTAATCTTACATTCATTGAATGTTATTTAGATGTGTAACAATGTCATGATGTATGAGAATGTTGTTGTCATGCATGACTGAGAGCAAAACAAATTTCTATTCAGGTCTTGTAGACCTAAACAATAGGTCTACAGCAGGGTTACAGCAATTTATGCTTGCTTCCTGAGTTAATCACTTATTGAGCTCATGAGCAATTGTTTCGAGGTTCATCCAGTAGATTAACAGTTGGACAGTTTTGGTTCTACCTTGGGACACAAGAACACATTTATAAGGATGTGAAATTAAACATGACTTGTAAAATCTAATCTTTATTAGACAATGCACTCTAAATATTCAATAAGAAAACAATATTTAAGACTTATTAAGGATTGTTTAATAATACTGAAATATTTATTTTAAAATAGATCTCATGAAAAAGCAATTTAAAAAGAGTGTTAAAAAGAGTCCTTGCTAGTCTTATTAAAATACATCTTTAAGGAATCAAAGACATTTATAAGGATTCAACTTATCTAAATGTTGAAGCTTGTAGTTGGTATTTGGCCAGGATGTTAAAATAATGATGCCATTTGCTGACCCAGATTTATTGCTTCCAGTGAAAGGTGATTCATTACTGTCCATAATTAATAATACTTCACTGTCGGGAGGTGGCCTTCTAATAAAATAGTCAGGGAGTTTACACATAGTTGAACATTAAACTAGTGGTACTTCTGAATGGCACAGACTTTCCGGTATTAGTTTTCTATTTCCCTTGGTCTTGGGTACCTATTCGAACTTGGCACAAGCTCTTGCATGCTGCCATCTATCGCCACTCAAAGTATTTTTTTTTTTTTAAATTTTCTAAATTTTTCGATTTTCTAATATTAGAATGTAAAACCTTGTTCTAAATGGCAATTTTCTTTAAAACATTTGGAACACTTTTTAAGAAAATGGTGTTTAAGTGCTACAGTAAATTTGAAATTTGAAGCTCTTTTACACAGAAAATTTTTGTATTCAAAAAACTTCTTTAGAAGTCATTTGAAGCACTTTAACTCACAAATAGAATAGTGTTTACAGATTGTTGGAAAAGGGCATGTTAACGGCTTGAGAGATCTTTCAGAAAAATTAGATTTGTGTAATTTTTGAAAAAGAAAAGAAAAAAGGAAATCCTGAGGTGAATGTTTCCTCATATTAAAGAGTGCAATTAGCACTATCATTTCAAGAAGTTTGAAGAAGAAAAATTTGGAGCAGTTTTTGAGAAAATGACGTTTGAGCGTTCCTGAAAATACGGAAGTTTGTGCTAGTGTTGACAGAAAACGGTTGGTATATAACACTATCCCTATTAGTTTTATGGAAAGCTTTTGGAGCGGTTTTTGATAAAATCTTGTTTAAGTATATTTTTTAAATTGCATGCAATATTGCGCAAAAACTACTAAAATTTTCAAATAAAAAATATTAGACCTTATTATAAGACCTTATTATTATAAAAGAACAAATTATAGCCAGAAAAAAGTATTTGAAGGAAAGATCTCTTTCTTCCATTTTGTAGTTGTAGGAAAACCCAAAATTCAGAGTTCACCGTGAAAATAAGACCTATGCCACCATTACAAGTGTATTCACTCTATTCTTACAAAAAAAAATTTAAAAACTGGGAGCCATATTTGAGAAAATTGAAAAATTACTTGAAAATTTTCAAGTAAAGTAAAATACCCCCAAAAACTAATGAATGATTTTCAAAATCGCAGAGCTTTGACTCAGAATGGACAGTCATTTCTTCAATTTGGAAAAAATCCCACACATGGTTGGTGCTACTCTTGCACACATACGCCAGATGGACAGACAGGCGGATGGACGTTTTGAAAAAAAAAAAAAAACCTTTTTTCGGTATCAGGGGACCTCAAAACGTGCGTTTCCGTTGAAATCTCGAAATCGATTTCCCGCAGCATTACATAACTTTCCGTATACTACGTATATTAGTCTGTGTATGCGTTTGTACACGAGAAAGTAAAAATCACTAGTAGCACCTTGTGGAGCATTACTTATCATTTTTTTGTACTGGTAACATGAATTAATGTTACAGTAATTAATAACAGTATTAATGCAGACAGTTAATCTGATATCACTTCCTCATTACTTTGAAGAGACAACTTGTTTGGCCTTAATATCGCTGATCACATACAATGTTTGTAACAGTAGAACAGCCTTGTTGCAACAATAGATTCCACACTTTCTGGGGTTGTAATTAGTAGGTTTTCCAAAAAATTCTCAGAGCTTATGAAATTCAGTTTACCATTTGGTTTGTTAAACAGAGCCATTCAGCGTAAGCTGGTTGCTTCTCGCTATCTAAGCTATATTTTCTTTAGTGCTTAAGGTGAAAGTTTCTGAATCACTGATGTCCAGCTGCTTCATCTTCATCGCATTTCACTGGATACTTGATGCTGCTTGCCTGAGGATATTGGTAGGTTAATCTATTTTTTTTCAAAGATCTCACATAAGTTTCATTACCCAGACTTTAAATACAAGGCGATTTTTATTAGAATCGACCGTTTTGACAGTTAGTGCTGGCAACACAACTGAAGGTTCTGTGATCGTTGTGTCCTTGAGCCTATTAGACTCTCCCTCCATTCGTTCGTTTGCAGTCGGCTAACCTGTAAATAGCTCAGACGCTTCCTGTTGTTATGTCCTCGCCCGACGAAAAGGTAGTGCGTCACAAAACACTTTTCCATACACGTTATTAAATATCTATATTTTTCGGACTCACGTACATGCATGTACCTGAGCGAAACTCTTTGATGTCTTACTCCTGTATGTCTCCCTGGGAGCCGTAAACAAACACTTTACAATGAGGCGTGACGGAACAGCTGCCACGGCGAAGAGATACTTCTCTGCATTACATGTGATGTTCACTTGTTTAGCGAACTGTTACTTTAGCTCACTCTTATAAAAATCGCTCTATATCATCAAGCAGCTCTTGCTCCTGCTCAGAAGTGAATACTTTTTCACACCACAGTCGGGGCTGACGCTAGGCTATTACGCCTCCCTATAATATTATAACAATAATAATGTACCTTCCAGATAGTAAATACTTGATTTAAAGAAATAATGAACACACATTTATTATTACTTAGAATATCCACATTAAAGACAAAAACGATAAACTAACTTTTGTAAGACAATTTGTGCCTTGGAGTACCATAAGTAGCAAAAGTATATTTCCGATCCCTTTTTTATGCGAATTTCGGAAAATTTTGGAAAAATACGTTTTTGTCATTGGTCATTTTTTGCATAAAGGTAGCCGAAATATTAGATTAAATTTTGTTCCCTGTGGCTATTATTATCTTCTTATCTAATGAGTGCGCAAGGAGAAAGGAAAAAAATTCTTTAAGTGTTGATTAGAATGCTTTTTTTATTGCCGTCAACAGCCAAAATTTCGCATTTTCACCTCGTGTAACCGTGGCTCTACAACTATTCAAAACGACCTCCTCTTGCGTGAAGGCAAGGTAAGCATCTGTGCCACACGGCCTCCGTGACGCGCATAACTCTGCCGGGTTGGTATTTTATTTCTGCCGCCAGGCTTTCAATGCGCTGAAGAAGGCCATCACCGTCCATGATTTTGATAGCATAAACGTGTTCGATCTTTAACCTCGAGAAAAATGTCCAGCTGGTTCAAATCGGGAGACCATGCTATTGGATCTCCTCGTCCGATCCACTATCTGGAAATTGCATAAGTATTCCCGAAATCCGCGATAATTATGTGGAGCTCCGCTACCATGCTTTAACATCTGTGCCCGTACATTCAACGGGACGTCCTCCAAAAGCGTAGAGAGTACCTGAGTTACAAAATTCAGTTACTGAATGAATCTCAACCACACGGGTAAGAAGAGAGGACTGATAAGTTCATCCACAACGCCAATCACACAATTACAGAGAATCATTCTTGGCGAGTTACGCTAACTGCAGCATGTGAATTTTCCTCGGACCACACATGCAAATTATGTTATATTAAAACACGTTTCATCGGCCAAAGAACGGTTTCAGAAATTACTGTTTTTCCTTGCATTTGCCCTTTGAAAATGCGTCGAGAATTCAGAACAATGGTGTTTGTCGGCACTGCACAAATTCTGAACCCGCTGGAATGGGAAGGTCATCTCTCCGCATGAATTGTTCGCCAGTTTGGCGACTGTGTTGTGTGGACCTCGTGGACTATTTGCCTTGCGCTAGTTTCCGGGGCTTAGCGGAGAGTATTAATGACCGATTTATCCAGAGAAGTGGCGAGCCCTAACGCTCACTTGCCATTGTGCGTGTAATACAAGGACAAGCACACAGTCCAAAGTTTAACGTTAATTATTTACAAAACTAAAGAGGAAGAGTATCCAATTTTGGAAAATTCAATCTGTACATTACATATGAGGTTTGGTTCTGGCGTATTAGCAACGAAGACTCAATGGCCCTGTATTGCAATAACGAAAGATCTTCTACACGCATTCGTATTCACAAAAACGCTCGCAAACTGCTGGTGGCCATCTGCAGGCAGATTGGCTTCCGCGAGACACGAAGGAACTTACTTCCAGAACGTCCAGCTTTACACAAAGAACTCATCAAACGTACGTTTTCAATCAACAAACGTAATAATCAAATGAAAACAAAATCTCCAAATATCATAAACAAAGCAATGCATACCGTCAATAATTGTCGGAACTAGTTTACTTTAAATAACGCGAAATTCATAAAATTAAGTTGCACGTAGAGTCAGTCGACGACAGAATATTGGTATTCCCCTCCAGACTGCCTCGGTCGCCGCGCAGCGCTTCCCAACGCTCGGCGACAAGATCCCCACACATTTGGTTGCGTAATCAAAGGCCGTGTGTTCATCCGGGATAAAGCGAAGGGGCAAAGACTAAATGCAGAAACAGAGCCAAGAGCGTGGAGCAATACCTGAGTGTCGCCAGACGTTAGAGCGCCAGTTGGACTCTCTTTGGTTTCAAAACGATTTTTTATACATCCATATCGCTGCAACATCTTGAATATTGAACGGAATTAAAAGAAAATTGCATATTCCTAAGATATTATCTGAGGGTTGGCAACCGTGCAACCCGAGGACGAGCCGCCACCGGTGAACGTAAAATATGAGCAGGGGTCGGATTTCAATGCGAATGATATTTTTTTCCTCTTGCAATATAAAAGTATGCTCAGTTGGTAAGCGCATAAAGCTCCTTATTTCCAATTATTTAAACAATTTTATGATCATATCTTGGATATTTGGCCCATGTTTAATAATCATCATATTTCTGATAATTACTAATAATTTTCTTTTTGTTTTTGAAATTTATCATTCCTTATATTTAGTTACCACGCCGCATTTATAATTATAATTAACATTTAATATCCAGGAAAAATCAATTCAAATCTAAGTATTAATGTGTGGCGATAAAATAATCTTAAGTGTCTGATTGTGAATTTCGAATTTTCAGCTTTTAAAAACATTTTTGTATTGCTCGATTACAAAAACCAATCTCATGTCAAATCAGTTACTGCCTGTCTACCTGTATGAACCGATTTAACTACAAACCTACTGCATCTATCGACATGAAATTTATACTCATTATACATACTATCCAGTGAATCATCTTTTCTTTTGTTTTATTGTGATATCTCACACAATTTCGAAGATGTGAGTTTTTTGTTGATCTACCCCGCGTGCCGCCAACGATTGGCATGAAACGTGCAGTCAGGCCGTTTTTTGATGGACCTCACCCATTCAACGATCGGGTGTCGAAAGAGGGTGGTGTGAGACGGTTGACCTGGCTGGGCCAGCCTGACTGGGATCACATATTATATAATACATATTATACATATTATATTATACGTATAAAACATAATAATAATAATAATAATAATAATAATAATAATAATAATAATAATAATAATAATAATAAAACATTAAATAAAAGTCATCTCAACGACACGAGCTGGCAAGAGACGGGACGCTGTCATCCGATCGAGAGCTTCAGTAAGAAAAATGTAAGTCGTAACGAAGCGAGCGATTTAATGGAGAAACCCCAACGGGTCTACGGGATTACGGGATCGCGTGCTTTAGAAACTACCTTTCCAGTTTTAAACATAATACAGTATTTGAGGACAATATTACTAGTCCACAACATATGAATAAATGCTACCTTATAAATGAACATTTCATTAAACTGTACACTTTCCCACTAGTATGTTAACTAACACACAACAAAATACCACCACCACACCCTGTTTCAAAATTAAAAATGTACGTTTCTAAGTAAAATGAAGGTTACTCCGATCTTTGACTGTAGCATACAATGAAGCTTACCCACAGTAATCGATATGTTTAAAAGTTCTTCTGGATAGTGGACAGTAGTAAAGGTTGAGGTATACCATTACCAGCGCTGACAGATAGAGCCCGCTGGAGTTAGCAACACAGCTGTGTTGATAGTTTTATACTCCGATTAAACCAAGAAGTCCTTTCAAGTTCACGACCTGACAAGAGAGTAGCATTTATTCATATGTTGTGTACTAGTAATATTGTCCTCAAATTCTGTATTATGTTTAAAACTGGAAAGCTAGTTTCTAAAGCACGCGATCCCGTAATCAGATTAGGATGTGACCGAAATGATCAATGACATGTTCGAGCATGATTTTGGAGAGAGAATATTAAAGGTAGTTGTGTGGAATATTATAATGCCTTTGCGTTATGGTAATATCTGAGTTAGGGCAGAGGCCACATGCGTTTGTATTTTTTGTTTATTCTGTTATTAGGGAAAATAAATCCAATATTTTTATTTACTAAAATTGGATTTGTATGAAATTTAATTTTTTCATTATGATTCTCAACGAAGATCCCTGATAATTAGGTTCTTTTCAAAAAGACATTTTCGACGTGCAGCCCTGTAGTCAGCGACGAGCGTGTGTGTATGTGGGCCTGAGAGATTTGCGCGGATACTAAATTTGTCTCAGACAACGTAGTTAAATGTTCTTTACGACTTCTCGCCCTGTCCCACTTCCAATGATAAATTGTTTTATCTCCGTTCAAAGTAAAATTTGTTTTTAAAAACGGCTGCATCTTAGGTGGACGACGGGTATGAGAATTGGCATATGTAAATCCGAAAAAACCTCCGTCAAGCTGCAACCCCCACTTGTTCGAAATTCAAAATTAACTAGCCATCGCGAACCCGTTCGGACGTGGTTGTTTTCTACAGTCAATGTCGCGAAAGTGCGAAAACGACAAAATAGCGCGTCTTTCCTCGGGCGTCGAATCCGAGCGGATCGCACGACGTTCGCACGACAGCGTCGACGTTGTCGGCGCCATGTCTCAAAAAACGATACCACAATATGTGGTATATTTTCAATATTTCAATTTCAAAATTTCATAGTGTTTTAAGAAAATGCCGTTATTTCCCACATCGGACGTAAAATATGCCCTCTGAGGAGTTTT